CCCGCGGCAGCGCGCGCCGGGCGGGCGGCGAGGCGGGCCCGGCGGGCGGCGGCGCCGGGGGACGCCGGGGACCCGCTCGCGCGCGCGGCCGCATCCCCGCCGTGCCGCGGCCGCCCGGTTATCCCCAGCCGCGCGCTGCCGCCGGCCCCCGCTTCGCCCGCTGCTCCAGCCGCATGGGAAGTTGGGGAACATGGACGGGGTCGTGCTGGCGTGGACCGCCGTCTTCTGGCTAACAGGTGGGCGTCCTTCCCGACCCCGGCGAGCAACTTTGCGCGCGTTCCCACCCCACCCGCGGGTCCCCCGGGCTGGGCTTCCAGCTGCTCACAGGTCGGCGGTGAGTGGGGGAAGGGGCCGTGTGTGTGTGTGTGTGTGTGTGTGTGTGCGCGCGCGCGCGTGTGCGTGTGTGTGTGCGAGAATGATGGAGGAGGCGGGGGAGGACCCCGACACAAGTGAGACGGCCGAGAGGCAGGTGTTTGACTCCTCACGGGAGAGCTCGGCATGTCCTCGTCCACACAACGGTTCTTCTCGGTCTTACCCTGACTTTGTGGTGCTGTGGGCCCTGGGAAGAGCCTGGTTAGGGGAAAAAAGAAAAAAAACAAAAAACAAAAAAAGAAAAGGAAAAAGAAAGCTCGGAGGAGACATTGATTAAGAGCCCTGGTTTTCTGCAGGTGAGGGGCGGAGGAGCGTGTCTCCCCGATTCCTTCCCGGGAGAAGCGGAGACCCCGCGGCGCTCTCCCCGGGGCTCCGGGGCTGCGATGGGGCGGGATGAGGAGCAAGATGGGGGCCGGGGCTGATTGGTTGTGGAGTTTCGGGCCCTGCTCTCGCTCGCTCGGTGCCCGTGGGAGGAGCGGTCCCACAGCGGAGCAGAACCTTCCTCCCCCAGAAGGAGGAACCGCAGAGACACTCAGAAGGGAGCGCTGCTCCCGGCGCCAGAGTCCCTTCCGCTAGCTCCATACCCCATGGTTCTCCCTCCCTTTGGGGGAACTTTCTTCCCACCCACCTGAGGTCTGGAAGGGTTCTTGTTGCCTGACGCCAGGGTCCTGCGAGGTCGAGGGACCGGTGGCCAGGCAGAGTGGCTGGCCCTGAGACATTCACGAAGTGACCCAGCTTGGATGCTGGTGAGGTCGGGCAGGAAGGTTCCCGGAGTTTGGAAGAGACAAAGATTCCCAGCAAGGTGGAGACCGAGGGATGGAGAAGGGATCAGAAAGGTTGAGAGGACGGGGTGAGGGCCATGCAGGGCAGGAGAGAAAGCAGAAAACAGCAGCCAAAAATGCAGTTCTGTCCCCTCTGGGGGCACCAATCAGAAGATTTGGAAAAATCAAGTCAGTAGGAAGTTTGAAACATCTAAGGTAGTCATTGAAAGAGGGTAGAATGTATTTAAGAAGCGAGGCAAAAACTCTATTTCCCTTAGCTTCAGAATAAGATTATTCTTATTTTTTTTTTCCTGTTCCAAATGAAGGACCCTAACACTGGCTCTGCTCTGTGCTGGCTTGAGGTTTGGGGGCGGGGGTGGGCAGGCCTAGTCGGCAGAGGTAGCCTCTTCTCTTGGCTGCTCTGAGTTCATCCCTCCCACATTATTCAAATATGAATCATCTCTAATTTCAGGGTTTGGCTGATCCATGTCTCCCCACTCCCCTGGCCTCCCAGTGCCTTCCACTTCCACCCTCACGGATTCTGAATGTCCTTGATTTGCCTCTACTTCTGTGTTGCCATACTAGGGGGGAACTCGGGCCTGAAACCTGTGTCGCCACCTCCCCGAGCTAAGCTGGGCGTCCTGGCTCTAAGTCAGAGATGCTCTTCCAGACACCCCAGAGTGTGCCCAGAAAAAGCACTTGAGGTATTTGCAGGGAGTGGAAGCAGAAGGGGAACACAGAGCCCTGCTAGATGGCTGACAACATTTTATGAGGAAGGGGCCACAGGCCATCTAGGCCAGCCCTCATTTTCTAGAAATGGAGGCCCAGGGAGGTGACGGGGGCACAGCAGATGTGCAGTGGGACAGGGACTCGACCCCAGTTCCCCGAACCCCAGGCCCGTCCCATTTGCACTCTTCGAAGCTGCCTCTCTGGGTTTTCTTGGTCGTAGGGAGTTCCGTTTTGTGTTTATTTTGAGGGGAGTTGCTGCTCTGTCCGTGCCTTCTTTGCTTGGTTCGTGGAGAAGCCGCCCCCTGCCTGGTGGCCGGCAACAGGTCCTCGTTAGGGCCATCTCAGCTGTCAGACACCCGGGCTTCTCTGCTCTGCACGTGAGGCTGGCTTTCAAGATCCCTCTGAGCACGGCAGGCACCCCCGATCCCAGCTCCGGCTTCCCCCTCACACCATCAGTCCCGCAAGCCCTTGCCTCTCAGCCTCAGCAAGGTGGAGAAGCTAACAATGGCGGCTGGGGGGTGGGGGAGAGGAGCGGTCACGGAGGAGATGGATTCAGGCTCCTCGTTCGCAGAAAAACCACGAGAGGAAAAGGTAAGACATTTCAGTCCGGCCCAATCAATGGATTCTCTCTTGAGGGGGTGGTACAGAGGGAGGGAGAAAGGGAAGGACAGATTAAAAATGAGTCAGGGGCGGGGGCACACATTCATTCTCCTTCTCCCTCCCTTTCTCCTCCCCCACTTTGTCTTTCTCCTCCCTTCCCCTCCCCTGTTTGTCTCTCTTAATGCAGGCTGAGCAATTTCTAATCAACACTTCAGTTTTTTCCCTCAGCCTCAGGCAGCTCCTTCCTTGTCTTTCATTGCGAAATTCCGCTGTATATTTAGCCTCATGATTTCTTATTGTCATTGTGATGCTGCTTCCTGTACGAAATTGTTGTTTTGAACAAACACGACGCTTCTCAGCTGCTATTTTAGCAACAGGTGCCATCCAGCAGTAGGACCTGAAGGAGGGTTCGCTCGGTCTTTGTTCCTGAATGCGGATGGCGTCTCCTCCTTGCTGGCAGCAGAGGCTGTGAGGAACGCGGGTGCTCTGTCCACTCCACAAACACGCTCGCAGGCGGGAAGCAGGCCCTGCGTTGTCCTGGAGACTCTTGGGTCTCTCTGTGATGACGGTTGCTTGCTCTGTTAGCCTTTCGGTTTTGGTCTTTCATTTATTCATCCCTTCCACAAGCACATACTAAATTCCTGTGCTTCCCAAGTGTTAGGATAGGTGCCGAGGGCAAAGAGAGAGCAAAGACCCAGTCCTTCCCCTCACAGAGCCATCAGTCTAGACTCAAGTGAGTTTTCTGGTGATTTTGAAGATTTTTATTTATTTGACAGAGATCACAAGTAGGCAGAGAGAGAGAGAGAGAGGAGGAAGCAGGATACCTGCTGAGCAGAGAGCCAGATGCGGGGCTGGATCCCAGGGTCCTGGAATCATGACCTGAGCCGAAGTCAGAGGCTTTAACCCACCGAGCCACCCAGGTGCCCAGTTTTCTGGTGACTTTGATTGGGAAGCAGAAGGTCTTCCAATCAGAGCTGCGAGAGCCCCATGAGGGGCTAGGAGAGCATGGGCACCCCCAAGTCAAGCCTGAAGTGGGGATGGAGCCATCTTGAAGGGAACTCCTAGGAGAGGTGGCGGCTGAGGGAAGACACGTGTTCATGCCTCGTCAGCGGCTGAGTAAACCCCTACATCCAGGTGCGGTTAGACATGGCCCTGCCTTCCAGCACTTGCAGTCTGGTGGCAGGACACAGTTATGGAGTAGCGTGTGTCCAAGCAATAATGGAGATCTGCACCAAGTGCAGTGCGGGTACCTCAGGGTGGCTCCTAACCACCCTGTGGGGGGAAGGACATTTCCGAGGGGCGGTTGTCTCCTGGTCTGGTTTGCATTCGGGTAGACGCCTGGTGACTGTGTGCCGACAGGCTTGGAAGCAGAGATTCAAGTGTTAATATTAGTCCTAGAGAAGCAAGAGTGGCTTTCAGAGACTGCTGACGCCTCAGCTTCCGTTGTCTCCTTCCCTGTCCTGCACACTTTTAGTTTCGCTCCCTCCTCTGTTCTTTTCCCTGCAGAAGAGACCTTGCTCTTACCGAGCACCTTCTTTCAACATCATCACAGCCCTCCGCTCTCCGCTCCTGCTCTCAGCCAGATGCTTCTCTCTGGACCGGGAGAGGGGGCTTGTTTCACTCTTTAGATTTTAGACTCCCATGATTCAGTTGGTTGGCTCATTTCTACAGGCTTGGAATTAGTAGTAGTAGCGGTTGTAGGGCAATACTATGCTTGTAGTCTTAGGGTAAGTACTTAGTGCTCAGTACAGTGTTCGTAGTTTTAGTACTAGAACTTGGTTGGTGGGAGGAACCCTGACCTGGGAATTAAGGTTTGGGTTCTAGTCATTCCTGCCCCATAGACTGACTTTATAACCATGGGATCTGAGTCTCATAATCTGTTGAATGAGATGACTTCTGAGGTCACTTTCAGCTCTAAAGATGCTATGGTTTAGAATCTTGTCTCCACTTAATTTTGATGAGTTGGAAGTCATGACCAAAAAGTGACAGGTCCAGTCTTCCTTTTATAATTCACCCAGTGAAAAGCCCATTTCTTTAGCCCTTCCCTGTTCATTAATGATTGGAATGAAAGCCACCAGCTGGGGAGGGAGAGGTCTCGTTAGGATTTTCAGAGGAACAAATGGAATAGCACTCAGTGCTTGGTGGACAGGAGACGGTCCACTCTGAACGATGAAATGTGGTCATGCTGGGGACTGGTACAGGAAAGTGAGCACTTTGGACCAGATGGGATGAATCCCACTAGAGCCAACATGGTCCCAGGACGTCCCTTTGGTTTCAGGACGCACACACCTTTTCACTCCTTCCAACATTTTAGCTTTTATGTCTCCTTTTTTCCCCAATCAAGAATATAAAGAAAGGTATGATGTGGTGGTTTGTTCTTGCTTCTTTATATGCTATAATGTTTTCCCATATGTTAAAGGACTTTTATATACATTATGCTTTTTGATCATCCTAAGCAAGAATGACTAATATTACCTACTTCTACATTAGAACACAAAGGCTCAGAGAGGATAAATAACTTGTCCAAGTCCATGGTATCTTATTGATTAAAAGATCAAGAAACAATATCACTGACTTAATACGACTTGGTTGTGTCAAGGACCAGAATCCAAGGGAAACATTCTTTTCTGCTCACAGTGGGTCAAGGTAGAACTCTTGATTTAAGTGAACATACATGGTGTCTGTTATGGGGCACTGGGTCGAGGGGCTCAGAATTCACAGAATTCAGGGAAATGTTGTAGGGGAACGTGAGAAAGAATAGCATTTAGTTTTTC